CTACATGGTTTGTATGGTGCTCTACTACACGTTGTACCAAAATCTTTATTTAAAATAATTGTATTTTTTTTAGTTTCTTATTAATTAAGTTATATTAAGTTCCCACTTGTGCTCAATCTAATTAATCAATTTAATATTTTTCCAGTCTGTAATATTAGATGTGGTTGCCACACATACCACTAAAACTGCTTAATTTACTGTACATTTTTATATTCTTTGATTCAAAATTTCAGGTTTATACATATTTGTTCAATATAAACTTAACCACAGAAACTTCAGAATTTTATAAGTAACATGTTTATGAATTTTCTCTGTTTTATCATTTAAACTCGAAAGACAATTATTTAATATAACATTAAAGGACAACAAGGGACCTTTTGGTCCATCTAGGCCATTCTATTCAATAAATTAAACTAAACACTTAAAACTTCAAAGCCAACCCTTATCATTCAAATATTTATCAATTTTCCCTTAATCTACCTAAAGTTAGCTGCATCTGTCATATCTGAAGGCAGCCCATTCCAGAAACCAACCACTCTTAGAAAAATAAAGCTGTCTTAGCTGAAGATGATTCCTACCCTGCCAAAATTTATATTTGTGACCCCTGGTTTTACTATTCTCACTAAATTCTCCTGGGCATTGGACCCAAAGGTCCCAACCCCCTGAAAAGAGTCTTCATCTCTACAATGGTTTATTTTTCGAAAATCATAATGTTAACACAAATTGGTTCTTTTAATCTTTAAATTTTAAACATAATACAAACAGAAACTGGTTATTTTGGTCATAGTCTGTGTCTCTCCACGTCTCTGAACTACATCTTCAACTGGAATGAAACCACCAACCACAAAAAACAATAAATCCTTCAGTACCAAGATCATCATGTCTTCTCCAACTTTATTCACAGCTTTCTGCAAACATGATTGCAAGAAATAAAATCCACAAAATAAAAAATAACCACAATTGGAAACATTTTCCCTCATTTGGGGTTGAAGGGGAATGATTGTTATTAAACACCCCTGTTGGGAAGAGCAAGCAACTATCACATTGCTTTCTCTTCCTTGAAACAAACTTCCTGGCACGTTTAGTTTTTGTTTGTTTTTTTACTATTCTCACCATTAAATACGAAAAAAGATAACACATCAACACTATCAGTTCCCTTAACTATCTTATACTCTTTAATCAGATACCCTCAAGCTCCTTTTTTTTTTCAAGAGATAACAAGTTCAGAAATCTTAACCTACCCTCGTATGACAACCTTTCTCTACCAGGTATCATCATAATAGCTCTCATCTAAGCCCTTTCCAAAAATTCAATGTCCTTTCTAAGATAAGAAGCCCAAAAGTGAACACAGTACTCCAAATGTGGCCTAACCAATAGCCATGAAATTACATTATAACTTCTTTAGAAGCCTATTCAATATTTTTGTAGATACAACCTATAATCCTATTTACTATGCCACTAGCAAAAGCGCATTGATTGAATGGCTCAAGAAACTGATGAACTGCTATGGTTATTCCCATCTAGATATATACTTATGAGTCAAATTGTGATATCCAGCATACATTACCTTGCATTTATTTTTAAGGAAACTAACTCCAATCATAATTAATTATCATAAATCCAAATTTTTGGTGCTTTAAATACAAATATGGAAAATGCAGATAATTTTTATGGCCACAGATAACATGATCTGTTTTATGATGGAAAGGCAACCAAAAACAGTTTCTGTAAACCAAGACTGTGATTAACCCATTATCCCATTTGATTTTCATATACAGGAAATTTAGTTGACCCTTTTTTTCAATTTCCAATGTAAAATAACTGAATTAAGATGTTATTTAAACTTTATTGATGTATTATTGTCATTCTGCTACACCAAAAACATGACATTTACATACCTTAACCACACAATAGGTTTAATGACAGAAGTATTTAATGTATCCTTTTCAAATTTAATCATACACAAGTCACATAATAGGGAGAGGGTGGTATAAGGGAGAATCTATAGCTAAACTTTTAATCTGTCTGCTTTTAATAAATCAAATTTTATTGTACAACAAGTAAGTCAACATTATACTTGAGTTTTAAATCTCGTATTTTTAATAATTATGAATTATTTCATGAATACACTTATAGTTTGTTAATTTCCAGCCTTAATCTTTTATTGGATAGATATTGAATTTGTAAAGAAACAAAAAGAGATCCAATCTGTTTCATACTCATATGCTTACAATTGCAGTTACTGTACAATTGGTTCTGTCATTTCATGTACATGTGTATGTATAAAGTATATACAACATACTTCTGATAAATTATTTTAAAACTTTAGTTTTTCTATAGTGAAAAATATTTTATGTTTATGGTTTTCAGTTTTACTGGTTTATGTTGATGAACGTGACAGAGAGGGTAAGTTAACTAGTATAGTATTAACCTGTATTAATTCTAATAATAATTAATATAAAGTATGTGTAAGTGCTAGACCTAAAAAATGAAATTATTACTTTACGTTTGGGGGGTTTTGTTACTTCTGTTGTTTATTTTAGATTAATATTTAACTTTTGCAATAATTATTGACTTTGAAAGAATTGCTTCAAATATAATATTTTAGGATTTTAAAAAATTCTAATATTGTCAAAACTATCATACAGTTATTAAAAGTATCAAATGATAGAATAAGACATGCATTGCTAAAAGTTGTAATAATCTAGTTATTTCTTTATTCTGAGCACTATAAATGTTTGGAACTTTAATATTTGTCATTAAAAGTATATCTTTCACCTACATGTGTTATATATTTGTTGTAAACATGCATATAACATAACAATTTATGTTATAAAATCTTCTACAAAGTTTTGTAACTAATTAATGTGTGATTTACTACTCTAGACAATGTTTGTTTGATTATCACCTAAAACGTTGATTTGACTTGTTATTTATAATTTTTAACTTATTAAACTGATTTAGTCATTGTAGGCATTTCAGAAACCATGCTATCACATGTACCAGCAATAGGAATCTAATTTCTGATTTGATTGTCACAACTCTGTAAATAAAAGAACTTGTCTCTTAAGTTTTGTGTGCAATCTTTTCAGTATTACATGCTTAATTATTAAGAAGTCAGTTTCTAAGAAAAAGATTTTTAATATAAAAGGCAAAATACGTAAGACTGAAATATTCACATGACTGTCTTTGTTAAAAAAAATTATTGACTTGTCAACAAGTGCATAAAAAGTATAAGATAATTGTATCTAAGTAATGGTATGTCCAAGACAAATAAGCAAAAGAAGTATGTTTTGGATGTATCAGTGTGGTAATCTCACAGTTCAATACAGGGACTCAACCTCCACTAAAACTAGAGGTTTGAGGATCGAGTATGTGGAGGACTGTTGTAGTGATTTGTTACAGATGAAATGAAAGAGACAAAACAAGGTGATTAAGTATGAATGAAAATAAGACACCATTTTCTGATGACAAGTTGAAAATTGGAAGTTGTTTGGTATAACTATTGTCAATGAGATATTAAAATGTAGAAGTGGATAAAGAAATTAAAGTGTATTTATTTAAGGGGAAAAAAACTAAAACAAATGCAGCTGCAATATAAATTAAAAATAAAATTAAGTGGACATGATCAATATAAACAATAGTTGTAAGGCTTGAAACACAGATTTGACTTCACAAGGAAGTTTTGGCTCTCTCAAGTCAGACACAAATTCTACTTCCACAAAAGTCAAAATATATCTGATGTGGAAGCAGATTCCCTTTGTACTGACAATCAGTTAGACACCATAATGTGAAAATATCTTTACATCATATGACAGTCACAAGGTAATCCTCTATGCACAAGGTCAAGTAAAATACAGTACAACTATCCCATCAAACAGCCAATAAGTGTATTGACCAGAAAATCTACAGAAAGAAATGTCTTGAGCTGAATTTAGCACACAACCTCAACTAGTTTTTAGATCTTCCAAATTATATCTTTAAAAAAATTAAATATTTTGTAGGCATGAACTATATACTAGGAGAGTAAGATACATAGTATTTATCAATACTTTGGTTTGATTTTTTGTAATTTTTCTATGCACTAGTAAGTCTCTCATATTTCAAGTTTTAAGTAGGCATTGGTTTTATAATTTATTTGTTTAATATACCTAAACCTTTTGTAATAATTTTCGTTCCTTTGTTTGATTCTTATGTACAACTTGAATTTACCGTAAAGGGTTCTGATGTTTTGTAATTATTATTTTAATATCAGATCCTGTACCAGAAAAAAAGAAGCATTGGTATATTCCATACATCAGAGTTACCCGTAAGTAGCACAACATTTTCACTTGTTAAATAAATAGAAAAATTCTACTCTAACTTAGCAGTTGCTGGTTGTTATAAAAATGATAAAAAATATTATAATCAAAATTTTATTAAAAACCAATGAATGTTCAGGAAGTTTATTTTGTTTTAATTCTAAACTTCAGCAAGGGCATCCATTACAACACCATAGTTTCAAGTAGTTTATGTTGCTTATTATTAAAGTATGAAGAAACTAGTGCATTTAGATGATTGACATAGCAGTGCTTTGTTATGAGCTATGCATTGGTTTGTTAGTTTATAAAAACATTATTGATCTTGGTCATCAGAATTATAACTTACTGTTGGAACATGTTTTTTATTTTGTGTGTTCTTTTGGATTATTTTTTTAAAATAATGTAAAATCCCATCCACTTAAATATAATATATTAGTTTATTTCTTTCTTAACATTTGTAATTGTAGGCCTATGTGCACAAAAAACGTTTCAACAAAAATTCTAAGTTTAATGGTAAGTACACCTAACTAACAGGTAAACTTACAGAATTTTCTTGCTAACACTAAACTGAAAACAACATTTTTGACACTTAACTCATAAACCTGAATACTTATTTACCTCACTAAATGTCTACTTGACATGTAAGTAATGTGCCCTTGTCTCAACATTAGAAAAAGCTTCTCGATTATTGTATCATTATGCTCAGCAGTACCTTCTAAGAAACAAATAAACTGTAATGTAAGTAATGTGCCTTTGTCTCAACATTAGAAAAAGCTTCTTGATTATTGTATCATTATGCTCAGCAGTATCTTCTAGCAAACAAATAAACTGTAATGTAAGTAATGTTCCTTTGTCTCAACATTAGAAAAAGCTTCTTGATTATTGTATCATTATGCTCAGCAGTATCTTCTAGCAAACAAATAAACTGTAATGTAAATAATGTGCCCTTATCTCAACATTAGAAAAAGCTTTTCGATAATCGTATCATTATGCTCAGCAGTACCTTCTAGCATACAAATAAACTATAACATTGAAAATATAGCTTGCAACACTGTCCCATTCCTGTATTTTGAAGCTTCTTGAACAATCCTGACACACAAACAAAACAGTATATTAAACTACCCTTTTTTCTCCAAGGGTTATGGTATGCAGATGGGATGATCTTTCATACTTTATTGTCATGTATTGTCCTGTACTGGGTGAACTCTCTGGTAGGTAGATGAGTGAATCTAGTGCTCATCCTTGATGATCCCCTGGAAGTGGTCTCAACAGGAATCTGGGCTCTTCAGCAGGTTAGCCTTCTACAGGCAAATTCTCTCTGAAATTACTCAATTGGCCATTCTCTCACAATCTAATTTCAAAGACAATCATGATGGATCACTTTTAGCTTGGACTGTCTGTTTTTCTGGATTGCGTAGGCTACTTAATTGATTTTATTCAGGACAACATATGGTCCTTCCAAACATCTGCTTAACTTTGGAGTTTATCCCTTCTTATAGCAGGGATTGTACAGTCACACCATGTCATCTTAATGGAATCCAGTCTTATCAGCATTAATATCATAGTGACTTTTCATTTTATCACTAGTTGACTTAAGTCTTTTCCAGGCAATATATATGACACCAGCAGTGTTTCTTAGTCTCTCTGTATGTTATATGTAAGAATCTGCTTAGTGACTATCATCTGAATGCAAGTACAGAATGTCTAATGGCACTTTGTGTTCTCTCCAAAATATCAGTGATGATTGTATGTTGCCTGTTGCTTCATGTACTGTTGTTCAATAAGTCATAAGTAGGAGTAGAAAATCTTGATCCCATGTTGTTTTTTTATGTTCATCCATATAATTGGCTAATTGATTTAAAAGTGTAGAGTTGAATTTCTCTACTATTCTGTCAGAAAATGGATGAATGGCTGTTATCTGGTCTCCTTATTTCCAAGAATCTGACATTTCTACAAACAAGACTAATTTTATCCCTGATCTGAGTGAAGTCCTGGTTAGGAACAGCATATGCTTTTGGCCATTTAGTGAAACACTTCATCACAACCATGATGTATTTATTTCTATTGGTACTCTGTTGTAGAGCACCAAGCACATTCAAGGTAACACTCTCAAATGGTGCTCCAACACAGTACTGCATTAGATGCCTATGCAGTTTCTTTCATTGGCTGTTTCACTGACATGATTTACACAAACTTTCTACAGATTCCTGGAACTTAATCCAATAGAAGTACTTTCTTACTCTCTCCAGTGTGTTTATAACATCTTAGTATCCAACAGTTAGAAGGTTGTGGAGCTGATAGAGTGTTTTGGAATATAGAAACTTTGAAGTTGTTTGAAGTTAGCATGACCCTCCATCCATGTTTGTGCATAAAGTCAGTTCCCATTGTGCACTCTTCTTTGATGACAGTAAGGGTAACTTCCAACGTTCGTTGTGTTGAAACTTTAAGACCACTTGCTGTTTGCATCAATCCACATTCCTTCATTATTTGGAAGCAATTTCCCACATTTCATCACCAAATTAGATTGAATTATTGTAGCTGTAGAACCAGCATTGATTAACATACTGCAATGCTTCCCATCTATAAACCCATTAACTAGTGGATGGTTTCTTTAAGTAATGAATTTCTTATCTCATTTGGGCCAGATGTATTTTCAGCCAAACTTCACCCCATAAGTTAGCCAACTTTTTTTTTATGATGTCTGATCAGACCATTGTTGTTCCTTTGATCTGGCTGTGCTCAAAGACTAATTTTTTGGATGTTGTTTCCTTGGTTTATTAATAGCTGTTCATTCCTCAAAGTCTCAGCTGTAATAGCCATCTTTTCCACATTTATAACAGTTCACTTTTACTGACATACTTTGGGAGCAGTTGTTGTTTTCTACAGGCTTTTGTCTGCAATTTCAGGCAATATATCATTTCAAGTTACTCTTGAAACACCTATTGTCATGTCATTTTTTTTTCTCTTCATTATGTTTACCTAAACCAATCCTGTACTGGAGAAGGAATGTTGATTATAATTTAAAATTTACAATGTGTATCTACATTAAGATATTTATAAAATGGAGATATCTTGTACACAAAAAATCGAATGTGTTACAAAAGTATTTATTCTTTAGATATGTCTGTGAATTGATCACATCAGTCTGGCTTACACTGACACATCAGAGCGCAAGGTCATGTTCATTTAAAAAATAAAAATGCCTTTCTCCATTGTGCAGTTTGCATACTGTATTTTCATAACATCTAGAACTTCTGAAATTTATATCTGCAGTTTTTTCAGTATCCCTATATATTGTATCTGATATTTGCTGTTCTCCTAACACGTTCTGTCACTAAGTCAGCAGTGTTGGGTAAAGTGAATACTTGACAACTCTGACATCAAATACATAATACCAAGTTCAATGGTACTCTGTAAAAGGTCATGGCATATGCACCAGAACCCCACCCTTGCACAAACAGTTATGTGCAATTTTCGTGGATTCTAGTTTCGTTACCAACTGAAGAACTTTCTTTAAAGATCTATACCTACTTTGTTTCAACCTAATTCTCTTATCCTTGTATTTTATGGCATACATAAATTGGTTATGTACCAATAAATCCATCATTTCACATGGAGCATCTGAGTATGATAATTGGGCAAGCCTTTCCAAATCTTCTGCAAGTTTGGCTAAGGTATTTCCTTTCTTCCATATCCTGTTTTAGAACTTTGTTCTATATATACTTGCTTAATGGTGTATCACTCCAAACCTGTTGTACAAGGCAACTACCAATGTTTCATAGTTTTTATGGCTCTCATCTGGAAAGTTGCATATTGTTGTTATAGCTGGTTCTTCTAAATGGGCAACAAAATGAACAGTTTGTTGTTCACTGTTCTGCTCATTCACTCTGGAAATTATTTTGAACCAAGTCTGATATGTCTTTCACAGTGCCTTTCTATTATAGTCTGTGGTTTTTTAATCAAGGCAATGTTCTTGACTTGGTCAGTTAAATTCTGAAATTATATTTAATAGTGACATGATTGTAGTAGTCCAGGAAGGTTGGGAAGTAATAATAGTAATAATAGAAATAATAGTAATAAGTGTAGACCAAATAATTTCTCCTTTCCATACCTTGTATAAGAAGGTATTTTAGGTTGGAAGTCTTGTGCAGATGCAGAAAGTGGTTTGGTTGATTTAATCCTTATGTTTATTAGTTAATTTTCTAGATGTTTTATTTTGCAACTGATGTGCTTTTCAACCTCAGTGATCCCTTTTTTTTACCACTTTGATTTCTCATTCTTTCTATTATTTATTGGTGTGTTTCTTTACTTCTTCAATTTTGTCATTACAGCTTTTCTGTATTTTTTTGGTATCTCTCTGCACTTCATTAAATTTGTTCTTGTAATCCCTGTATACATTCTCAATAATCTTTTCAATCTTGTCTTCAATCATATTTATATTTGTTCTTAATTCTTAATTAAATATTACAGCTCTTTCTTTTAACTCCTTTCTTAAATTCTCATCTCTCTCTTCTTGATCATCTTTCAATTTTCTAAAAATTTATTTTGGTTTCTTTTTTTTTCATTTTATTCTTGTACTTTTCTGTCTTGTTCTCCTTTACCTTCTTTTAACAGTTTTATCATTTCTAGAAAAGTTTAAGTCTTGCTTCTTGTTTTTTTTATTATCATCTTAAACAGTTCAAGCTCAAGCTAACTCAAATTTCTGTTTTATTTTCACCAAAATAACCTCACTTCTGACACCAGTTGTTATAACATGTTCTTTTGTTGGATTGGTTCTCTTAGGTTATCTGCTAAAACTAATGCAAAATACAGCCCATATGACAATAATAGATTAGTTCATTGCTTCTTTAAAGTTTGCTACAGGCTACTTTCACTTTAGTAAGTGCACAAACAACATTTCAACAAACCTTCCGAGACTAATGATAAGATGACTAAATAAATTTACAGCATTTTCTTCTTAATCAATTGATAAAAAACATGCTGACTGCCTTACTAACTCATTCACTGA